AATTCATATAGATAAAGGGTTAAAATATCATAATATAAGGTTAAAGATTAAAATTTACAAACTTATTAAAATAAAATGTTAAAACTAGGTTTTTGCTCCCGAATGACAAATCATTTTCGTGCGAGAAAAACGTTGTTCGCACTGCTTCCAGAAGGGTGACACTTCCTGCCATTTGATGAAGTCCTCTCACCTCTTTCTCTGGAAATAAGGATATTATTATAATTATATTATTATATAAAATTATAAATTTATAATTATAATACAAGAAAAAAGAGTATGTTAGTGTCAACTCTTAAAATAAATTACAGTCATAAATTTAAATAAAATCATTTTAGTTAATTAAAATTTAATTTAAAATTTAAAATTTATTTTATTAAATTTTAATATTTAAATTTATAAACTGATAACTAATTATATTAAGATATTAACATATATAATCAATTTTTAAATTTAGATATCAATATTTAATATGATAGATTTTTAAATTTTAAATTGAGATTTTTGTTTTTAAATGAAGATTGAAATTCTAATTTTTTTTTAGAGTTAGATTAATACGCAATAATATCATAATATATTATTATGATATGTTATATAATATATAATATTATTAAATGATTATAAATTACAAAATTAATTATATAATAATATGTTTTAATTATAAAATTATATTGATATTACATAATGTTACAAATATATTATTTTTACACCAAAAATAATATAGTTGTTTTTTACCATGCCAAAAATTGAAATAGTAAATTCCTGCAATTACACATTCAATATCAAGTCAAGTGAGACCTCTCAATAAAAAAATATAGAGCATACTAGTTAGGTTAGAGCTACTCCTAAGAATTAAAAAAAAAAAAAAACCTGTATTTTTCAATTTTATAATATAATTCAATCAATAAAACACTAAAATTTAATACATTTAAATTAAAAACTTACAATCTCAAAATAAAAAAATAAAAAAATGAAAACCTTACAATCTCATTTTCTTGTCAAAGAAAACAAAAAACTTACAACCTCACGAAAATTGTTACCATATATATCATTGTTGATCATTTCCCCACCCCACCACTACGAATGGCAATAGTATCATTTTCGATCACTAGACCGCTACTCCTATAACTTGCACTAGACCGCTATTCGTATAGCTCACGATCCTCAGTGACTTTAACTTGAGTTGTAAACCAAAGTCTTCGAATAACGTTTTCCTCTGTAAACTGCACAACAAATCAAGCCGCAAAAAGGGTAGAGACAGAGTGAAGAAAAGACTGTTTCTTGGTGCAATGGTGGTGGGCTGGGAGAATGTTGGGGAGGTGACAACGGCTTGAGGTTTTGAAAGGGAGAGAATGGGGTCTGTGGGTGGAGGTGGGGCCAATGGTGGTAGTGGGGGTGGCAGCGGTGCGCGGGGAGGCCGGATTCTGGCTTCTGGCTTGGTCTTCTGTGTTGTGTGTTTTGTGCTGTACGGTTTAATCGCAGTTCTGTACGCGTGGGTGGTGTTGAGACCGTTCTCCTCCACCTCCTATGCCAGAGCCGGGCTGCCCTGGCTCGGTTGCCAAGAGGACAATGAGGGCTCTTGGGCTATTGGTGTTTACTATGGGGATTCTCCATTTTCCCTCAAACCCATTGAAATTGTAATTGTAGTTTTTTTTTGCCTTATAATTTCTCTTTTTAATGGAAATGAGTTAATGTCTTTACTCATACCTTGCTCTCTTCCTTGGGGTCTCTTATTTTTCTTCTTCTTTTTTCGTTTTTAGTCGTCTATCCATATAATTACAGTGTAAAAAGACTGTGATTTTTTGGTTTGGGATTGGATAACTTTTTGGGTTTGTTTTTTGTTGGTATATCTCAAGCTGTTTTCTTTAATTTTTAATGGTTTAATTTTGGGTGCAGGAGAATGTGTGGAGTAATGAAAGTGCAGCCTGGCCAATAGCTAATCCGGTTATAACCTGTGCTTCAGCTTCAGATTCTGGATTTCCAAGTAACTTTGTTGCAGATCCTACTCTTTATATTCAGGTAATTTTTTTTCCCACTGTTTTTGATTTGAAGGTTTTGTTCTCTTCATCCTAGTTCTGATGACGTATTATGTGTATTTTCCATGTAATCAAGGTGTTCTGCAATTTAGAATAGAGGCATAGGACTCGTGGCTAACTGTGATTTTTCTTTCATTTCTCTAAAACCTCTATGGGAAAAGGGTGGAAAGGGTAATTATAACTTTGGGAAATTGAAAACATGTTAAAATTCATGGTTTTCATGGCACTCCATATGAATTATTCAATTTGCTTGTCAGTTCTCCCCTTGAGTTGTTCCTATAGTTTCAATCATCTCACAGGCTTCTGATAAACTATTTCACGTATAGTTCCTGATCCATCGTCCTTTGGTCTGAGTTCTTGTTCCTCATCTATTGGTCTATTTTGTTAAACTAGTGTCCAGGTTGAGAAAATTGGATAAGTCTTGCTTGAACCCCTTTAGAGCTTCACAGATTCACTTCAAATAATTTGTCCCAAGTGAAAATTGCTTTATCCCAAATCTTTTTTCTTTAGAAATTAATAGTCTGATCTCATCAGATTAATATGTATTCACTCAAATTTTACATATTGCTATATCCTTGTGTGTATGTATTTATGCACATATGTGCTCATCTTTGTTAGACAGTGGTTAGCTACCAAAGGGAAGTGCAAGCTTAGAACCAATGTTTGCAAACCCAAATCAGAGGTCAAACCGTTTTGACCTCCAGTTCGTGGTTTGAATGGTTTAACCTGTTTAACCTATAAAACCACCGGGTTGATCAAATACTATAAATATATGATCTTGCAAAAGATTTCACACAGTGCAGGTGAGTTGCATTGGTAGGTTGCTGATTTTCTATAAGAGGGATATAATAAACTTTAATATAATTGTGCTTTAAAAGTAGAATAAGTATATTGTAAAGCATCAAATTGAAAGAAGAATGTTGTGTACAAGTGGAAAAATTTGTTCCACAACATGGAGAATGAGTGTTCGAATCTCATGCTTGTCACTAACAATACAGTTAAAATCTTTGGGATTTATATGAGTTAAATAAAAGTCCAAGCACCCATTGACCAAAGGATTGCATTGTCCTGTTGGCAAATGATCAAAATAAAGGCTTCAAGGTTGCAAGTTCAAACCTCATGGAGACAAATTCCTCAGGATTTTAAGCCCAAGCATTGAATCGTCTAGTTGAACGGTTTGAGTAGTTTCAAATGGTTTATTGATTTGAGCGATTTCAAATGATTTAACCATTTCAATGGTTTGAAAGATGCACCCGAACCATTTAGACTACTGGGTACTGGTTCAATTGGTCAGTACAAATTTCCCAAGATTTTGTGCCCAAGCATTGAACCATCCGGTCAAACCATTTGAGCAGTTTCAAATGATTTATTGGTTTGAATGGTTTCAAATGATTTAACCATTTAAACGGTTTGAAATATGCACTCGAACCGTTTAGACTATCAGGTACCGGTTCAATCAATCCGACCGACCAATCTGGTCCAGTTTTCAAAACCTTGCTTAGAACTTGCTCCATATCACTTTCGCATGGAAATCTGCTGAAAGAATCACTGGCTTTATGTTGTTGACTTTTCCATGACCAGAATACATTCATCAGATTTGCTATTATTATTCTTATTATTAGGGAAAAATGTTTTGCAGACCGTCCTCCTAAATTTTTTTGAGAACATGTCTAAAAATTCATTTTCTAATTAATATTTTCAAAAATCAATCGTTGGATTGAAAGTTTTATTCATATAGATCAAGCATGTCAATTTTCATATTGTTCTAGTAAGCCCAATCACTTTCTTGATTATAGAAAATTTAACACTGTTAAATATATGCAAATAAATAGAGTTTTTTTTATTAAGGGTTATAAGTATTAAATTAATATGAAAATTAACATGCATAATTTATATGAATAGAACTTTCAAATCAATGATTAATTTTTGAAAATATTAATTAGAATGTGGGTTTTTGATGTGCCCTCTAAAAAAAATTTTGGGAGGATGATCAGCCCCATACTATCCTCTTATTATTATTGTTATTATTATTATTATTATTATTATTATTTATATCACTGTCATGCTATTTGACCATTCTGCCATTGTGATTTCGGTTAATTGTTACCATCATGATGATGCATATATAACTATGGCCATTATGTTTATGAGACGATAATTAGTTAGAGCATCCCTGTCAGGTTCTATATTGTTTACTTTTCCATGACTGGAATACATTCATCAGCTCTGTCATTATTATTTTTTATGTCACTGGCATGCTATTTGAGCATTCTGCCATTATGATTTCGGTTAATTGTTACCTCCATGATGATGGATATACAACTATGGCCATTATATTTATGAGATGATAATTAGTTAGAGCACCCCTGTGAGGCTGTGATCAATGATCTATATATCCAGAATTTATAATATCATTTGGTTGTAATGTGTTAATGTGGCTGGTTTTCTTCTACATTTAGAATTTTAACTTGATTGAAAACTAGGATCCAATTTGTAACTTCTTTATGATTTTGTATCAAGTTAATAAACTCTCTGCTTCTCTCATGTATCCCTTGTAGTCCGCTATGACTTTTCTCTTGAATTTTCTTGATTTTTCCTAGAATTTTAGATTTTTGTTTGTTGTTTAGTAATTTACATTTACACTTCACTTGTAAACTCTATTCTCAACCCTTTTCTGTTTGCATCATAATCCAGGGCGATACCTTTTACGTCTTCTTTGAAACCAAGAATTCATTCACCATGCAAGGGGATATTGGAGTTGCTAAAAGTACTGATAAAGGGGCAACATGGCAACAACTGGGAATTGCCTTGGATGAGGAGTGGCATCTCTCTTATCCTTATGTCTTTGACCACCTTGGCCAAGTAAGACTATAAATTTCTTTTATTTTTCTCCCTCAAGAGACATATAAGCAAATAGCATTAGCATCACATCCTTAGCTTTATGCATCCTTAAGAATGAACGTTCAGTATGTACCCTGCACAAAAATTCTCTGAACAGAGAATAAGTGCTCCTGCCTGCTACAACATTTACCAGATTAGGGTAGTTGATAATGATCATACCCATGATGCCTATTAACTAACATTGGTTATGGTTGTAGAGAGGTAATCTAAAGGAGTTTTCATTATGCTTACTAGCATGGGCATTGGTCGCAGAAAGGGAATTAAAACATTTACAAAATTATCGTAGTGTTGATCAATTAATTCTGGTTTAGGGACAAGCAACAAAAACTGCAACTGGGTTACGATCATAACACCACATAAATTGAAGAGTTGTGTCATTTTACTCTTTATCTACAGATATATATGATGCCAGAGAGCAGTGGGAAAGGTGAACTCCGTCTTTATCGAGCAATTGACTTTCCCTTACACTGGAAGCTAGAGAAAGTCATCATGAAAAAGCCATTTGTTGACTCCTTCATCATTAATCATGATGGAGAATATTGGCTTTTTGGCTCAGATCATAGCAGTTTTGGATCGCAGAAGAATGGACAGCTGGAAATCTGGTATAGCAGCTCACCTCTAGGAACTTGGAAACCACACAAGAAGAACCCTATTCATAATGCTGACAAAAGCTTGGGGGCTCGAAACGGTGGCAGACCTTTTATTTATAACGGCAATATATATCGGGTTGGTCAAGATTGTGGTGAAACATATGGGAGACGTGTCCGCATCTTCAAGGTGGAAGTTCTTACGAAGCACGAATACAAGGAAGTTGAAGTCCCATTCATATTGGAAGAGCCTAGTAAGGGTCGGAATGCCTGGAATGGAGCTCGGTACCATCACCTCGATGTACAGCAGCTAAGTTCTGGTCAATGGATTGGGGTTATGGATGGAGACCGAGTTCCTTCAGGAGACATAGTCCATCGTAATATTCTTGGCTGTGCTTCTGTTGCAGCTGTCGCTGGCATTGTTGTGTTATTTGGTGTTCTATTGGGAGCCGTGAACTGCCTTATCCCCCTCAACTGGTGTGCTAATTACTCAGGCAAGAGAAGTGATACTCTTTTGGTGTGGGAGAGGGCAGATTTGTTTTCTTTAAAGTTAAGACGATTCTGCAGCCGCTTGAATAGAATACCATCATTTCTTCGAGGCAGGATAAAACCAAATACCTATGCAGGAAGATTTGTTTTGGCTTTGATATTTGCGTTTGGGGTAGCACTTATGTGCACAGGGGTTAACAAATTCTATGGAGGCAATGGTGCAGATGAACCTTACCCCTGGAGGGGTCACTTCTCTCAATTTACACTGTTAACAATGACATATGATGCTCGTCTGTGGAATTTGAAAATGTACGTGAAGCATTACTCAAGGTGTGCCTCTGTAAAAGAGATTGTTGTGGTTTGGAACAAAGGTACTCCCCCTAAGTTGAGTGACCTGGACTCAGCAGTGCCGGTTAGGATTAGAGAGGAGGATAAAAACTCACTTAATAATCGATTCAAGGTGGATCCACACATAAAGACCCGTGCGGTGCTTGAACTTGATGATGATATTATGATGAGTTGTGACGATATTGAACGGGGATTCAAGGTATGGCGTCAACATCCAGATAGGATTGTAGGCTTTTACCCCCGGTATGTTGATGCAAAAGCATTGAAGTACAGTGCCGAGAAATATGCCAGAAATCATAGAGGGTATAACATGATTCTTACTGGGGCAGCATTCATTGACAGTCAAATAGCTTTCATGAGGTACTGGAGCGAAGAGGCCAAGGCAGGGCGGGACCTGGTAGACGGGTATTTCAACTGTGAGGATGTGCTATTGAATTTCTTATATGCAAATGCAAGCTCATCTAAAACAGTAGAATACGTGAAACCTGCGTGGACAATAGACACATCGAAGTTTTCAGGTACGGCAATCAGCCGTGATACAGGAGCTCATTTCCAAACAAGAAGCGACTGCCTTGTGAAATTCACGGCCATGTATGGAGGTCCTAGTGACCGGAAGTGGGAATTCGACGGGCGCAGGGACGGTTGGGATGTTTAGGGAAAACAAAAAAAAAAAAAATAATACTAGCTTTTAGCAGCTAAATTAGATGTGTTCTGTTTTTTGTTCATCCTAGTTAAGTTTCTTATATCCCCCTCTTGTTGTGAATTGCTAATTTTGGTTTGGGGAAAAACTTATGTTTGAAAACATTCGATGTTAAGTTGCACATTCATGTTATTATTTTCTTATAAAGGATCTTCCATTGTGCATTTATTTAGTCCATCCATATATCCAAGAAGAAGAAGAAGAAGAAGAAGAAGAAAGGTCCAAGTCTCCAAGGAGCCCTTGGACAACAAACAGAAAACGGGCCGTCTTTTATGCTTCTAGTGACGCCCACAAAGATTGTAGCACGTAAAGTGGGTCGGCCCATGTCTCTCTACTAAAAATGTATTTTTTTATAATAAATTTGTGAT